GCGTTGGATGCTCTCCTTAGCCATAGGAGCGTCCAGTCCTGCTAAGCTCTTAATGTCAGCTGCATCCTGTGGCAGTGAGTTCCACAGGCCAGTTGTGCACAGCACTGAACCAATAGCCTTTCCCTGGAGTTTTATGGCCTGCTCTCAGTGACTCTTGATAACCTAGTGCGACCTCCTGGTGGTTCTGGGTTTGGGCTGCAAATGCCCAGGACCGGACCCCTGACTGAGTTACTCCTTGTAACCCCTTGAGCGTCATCCTTAATGCGCCCTGGAGTTCTCCCGTTTGCCACCCCCCACGACAGATCCTTGACCCCGGGGTTAACTCCATGGCTGAATTGCTTCTGCCGACCGCCAGGAGTCAGGGATGAGCCCAGGATGGGTGGAACCCAAGTCCGGGCAAGCCACTGAAATGACTTCGTAGCTGTGTGTTTCTGGCACCGGAACTTACTCCAAAGGTGGGTGGGGAATAGGATCAGGTCCTAACCTCAGGAGACTCCAGTTCTCTTCCCAGCCCTGCCACTGGGTGAATGTGGACAAGGCATTTGCCATCTCTGTGCCTCAGTGTCCCCTGCCGCAGTTACTGTCCTGTCTGTGTAGATTGCCAGCTCCTTGGGGCAGGACCTGTCTGGCCAGCGCCTGGCACCGGAGCCCTGGGCCGTGACTGGCTGGCAGGCACTATTGTAATGCACAGGATGGAGGTTTCTGCAAACAGTGACGTGATCTCCAGAGCCCGTCTGCTAGTTACAGATGAGATGTTTGTACCCTGGAAATAAAGGCTTGTTTCATCACCATGGCTACCTGTTATTTAAACGCCTCAAATCCAGGGCTCAGTCCTGCAGCCCATGGGCAGTTCTCAGCCCCTCCACAGAGCTTGTCATCCACAGATCTCCAAGCTCTTTACAGAGGTGGGTATTGTCATCCTTCTCCAACGGAGGGGAAACTGAGGCACGGAGCAGGGACAGGATGAGCCCAGTTCCCTGGCGCAGTGAGCGTCTCTCAGAGCAGTGCAAAGGCTACTTAATTTTAAATCCCCCTTCCCTAGCTGGATTGCCCAGCCCCCAGCAGCTCTGCCCCCTGAAATTCGCTGGGCTGCCCTCCACACATGGTGCCCGGACTGGGGGTGTCTCTGTCCCTGCTGGAGCGAGGTCTCCCCTCAGTCAGTCCCTGCCGGGGAGGGGGAGTTCCCCGTCATACAGCTTAGTCTGTTCTCAGGTCGCTTTGGGGCTGGGGGAGGATGGATTCTCACCGTCCCAGTGAACACGAAACCAGACAGTGCAGAGCTCACGGAGCTGCTCTTGGGGGTCTTCGCCCCGTGAGGGTTTGGGGAGCTTCGTCCCACGGCACCGACGGTGGATGGGGTGCTGTGGGGCGGGATGGGAAATTGGGGGTGATGAATGGGCAAAGTGCGCTGCTGAATGGGACCGTCAGGGGAGTCACTCACCCGGAGAGACGGATTGAGTCCAGCGCGGAGACCCCAGCATCTCTCCACCGGGCCGCAGGGTCTGGGACAAGGGGGGACCCCGTCACTGGTGCAGGCTGCCTCAAATGGGGGTGCTGGGTTGACCTGTAGGCTAAGGGCCCCCCAATATTCCAGGACACAGGCCTGCGGATTCCTGCTGGGTAAAATCAAAGGCTAAGGGAGCCCCATGGGCTCTGACGTGGGAGGATACCAGGGGGTTAGTGTGAATGGGGTCAGAGCGACCCCAGGAAAGACCCAACACCGGGCTGGGGTTTGTACCCCCCGAGCTCAGATCTGGTTCACTCTGGGGCAGGGACGGGAGCCGACCGGGTACGGCTGGGCCCAGACACGCCTTTCCCCCAAGGTCTGGGGGGTTGGATGGGGGGGGAGTCGGTGCAGGCTGGTGCCCAGCGGGGTGTGGGTTCCAGACCGTCTCACCCTCTAGCACAGGCCCGGCAGCACCAGGAGGGTCCCACAGAACAGCCCCAACCCCCCTGCTGGGCTGGGGGTGAGGAGAGCCAACCCCCCCCCCATGCCAATGGAGGGAGGATGAGCCTGGAGCCGGTCTGCGAGGGGCTCAGGAAACACCTGGAGGA